TTAACTTCGTTAACTTGGTTATTTCTGCTAATAATAATTACAGCATTTAAACATGTAAGTGGTGTGGTCTGCTTCAGAGATGGGTAAAGCAACAAAGCACCAGTGTCAGTAACAAGGCTGCTTTTGGGTTTTTTGATGCAGGGAAAAAAAAAAAAACCCCACCCAGAAAAACGTCACACGATGACTGAAGGAACAGCAGGACAGACCGTGCCTCTGGATCTGCTTGTGAGAGGCTGTAAAGTAAACCTATAGAGTGCCTTGAGACAGCCCTATTTCTGTCACTGCTGAAGGAATATTATAATCATCTATGCCTTTGTGTCAGCTGGTTTAAGTGTGTATCGGATGTTTGATACATAAAGCATGGATTCTTTTTTACCAATAAAATTCAACTTTTTTTTGGCCTTTGTTTCAGACAGACTCATGTACTAGACTAGTCCAATGTGACGGAGCCTTCCTGAGCAGAATGGGTTCTTACACTCGGCCTGTTGTCACCAAAAGCTGGTTCTGGAGAGCCAAGAATCTTGTGAAGCTGCAGCATGTTCATGGGCAAGGCAAGTGAACTGGAGGCACTTCCTTAGAAAATAATGTGAGACTTTTTATAATGCTCTAGAAACAATTTTTGTGTATTGTGGCATTGTGTTTGTTTGTTAGGGTGAAACCTGACCTGCAGACTTTCACTTCCCTGTTCAGTTGCATCCTCACTGTTTTGGACTCTGTCTTGCTTAAAGCCATGTACAAAGGTAAAAGAGCTAAAAGACTCACAACAAACACCATTGTTAGTTTTGAGTTTGGTTTTAGGTAGATTGTGATTCTACTGTAATTTGACCGCAGAGTTGTTCGTGTAGTCACGCTAGGTAAGTTCAGCGTGCAGACAGTGCACTTACTTAGGAGCTGTTCTAGTCTTCTGCCATTTAAATGTGAACGTAGGTGGGAGTCTTTCTTCCATGTGTAGTACTGTCATCACGTGTGCAAAAAAAAAAAGTTTCCTTTTGCAAGGCAGCAGAGACAGCCGTTGGTATAAACTTCGGGCTGTGCTGAAAACTGACACCAGTTTCAAGTTCTATCTGCCTTTTTTAGATCAGAATTTGGTTACTGATCACGTGGTTTCATAAAAGTGATCGCTGCGCCTCTCCCAAAGTTGGACCATGGTGTACTTGATTACATGGTCAGTAATTGGGTCAAGGCTTCCCTAAGGAAAGGCTTGAACAGACACCTTCCATGGCTGCCTTTCCCTGGACGGTCAGGTACACACCCATTTTCAGTAGGTGTGCTGCTTTGACGTTTGCTCCTAAGAGACATCTGAAGGGTCGAGTAGCGTGACAGGAGTTTCTGCCAGCTTGTGTGCAGACACCTGTGAACTCCAAGTACAGGAGGAGAACAGCGTTCACTGCAATTATGTTCTGTTTTCATCAGTATGAAATTAAACCAGTATAAATGTTGACCACTTACTTATGGATGAAAGGCAAATGTCATTCATTTACATGAAAAGCTTTACTTTTTCAGGAACTTTTCTTCCTAGAAATAATGAGCTATTTGTGTAGTGACCAGAATACTTGGCCTTTTAAGTTAAGCGCTTCTTATGGTCTTTCACTACGTCTGCACAACATGTGTGGGAAAGTAATAAAAAAAATAGCATGTCAGGAGACTTCTGTGCACACTAAGGGCTGTCCTATTCTGTTTTCTGCTCCTGAAACATTTTCAGAAATCTAGATACAGTTTTACTTCAATGGTTTTTGTTTGTTTGTTTCCCCCCCCTCCCCTCCATCACCCAGGATGTGGAAAAGCTTAAGCATAAAGCTGAGACAGCCCGAGCTGAAGTAGCAGTAGCATTTCAGGTAAGCTGCGTTCCACGCAGAATGTGGGTTTAGCAAGATGCAGAGACGGATAAGGGAACAGCAAGTGCTCTGCCTCAGCCCGATGGGGCTGTCCCACTTGAGAACAGTCCCTCTGGAACACCGGTCAGCTAGAGCAGGGATGCTTGCAGGTGTGCTGGCCTTCCCTTGCTGAAGACAACTCTGCTTGTCAGGTTACAGGGATGCAAGGACTGAGCCCTTTAGGATCCAATTTTCACCTTGTACTTGCACAAGAAGAGTAATTATGATTTATTTATTTTGGGAACTGCAGTGCTAGAATTAAGATAAAGAAGGGGAAAGCTTTGGAAACAAAAGCAGCTTTTTTTTCAGTAACTGGAAAATAGCCATGGTCTAGTTGAAGAATAAACTAGCAGCCCCTCTACCAGTATAGAGGTGTTGTGCTGACTGGGGGCTGGGGGGATTGTCTCTGCATCTAAGCAAGGGGTTGTACTGGACCCCAGCCTGCCTGTCTCATGACAGTAACTCGTCACACAGGACTCCAGGGCAGCTCCCTCCTGTAAATACCACTTGCCCCTGCAGCAGGCTCCAGCATGAGGGCGGCTCTGGTACGTGTCAGTTTACTCCATCTAAGGCTCGGTCGGTGAGATGGGCACCTGCTGTCCTCTGTGGGTGGCTGCTACGTGCACCCACTGCCAGGAACCAATGTCACTCGGGGAGGCAGGGCATAATCCCCCTGGGAGGGTGGTAACTCACAAATCACCCTTGCATTTCCAAACTACAAATGCATGAGGTACCAGGTAGGTGTTAAATGCAAACACACCAAGTAATGTGTATGTACAATTTATTTAAAATACTTTTTAACATACATATAAAAACCCCTCACTATTTATACAGTCTAAGTTCTAGCAACATATACAAATACTGAGCAACTACAATACATGCTGAGGTAAGAACATACATTCTGGGAGAATACTCGAGCCAAATAAGATTGAAATACATTTTATATCCGTATGTCTTCACATGTACAAGACCCATTAAATGTACCTCTGCTTGTACTGTACACAGGAGAATTCTAATCTTAAGCGTGCCATGCACCTTACATCTAGGAATCAACATTTAACAGTCTGTAGCACACATTTTAAACCCAGCTGTTACATATTCAGACTTCTCCTCTTAGCCCCAGCAGATAACGTGGTCAAAGTTGAAAGCAGGGAGCAAAGCTTGGAACCAATTTCTTTCAGAAAAGGGACTTAAATTCTTAAAAACGTCCATTCCAGTCAACAGCTCATGCTGCTCAAATAATGAAACCTCATTACAGGTACTTAAAAAGTAACCCACCATAGAGAAACTGTTTAATTCTTACACCATCTTAGCCTACAGCATACCCACAGTTCTACCATACCCGGCCTACAGTAAAAATGAAATCCAAGCCTGTTAATGTTACTAGCCTGACCACATCCATTTATTTTTATTGTAGATTAATTTTTCTAAAGCCTAAACTGGTACAATTTGAGAATGCAGAGGTTTCTTACCTTGGCCGGAATATGGCTATCAATCACAGCAAACAAATAACCTCCCACCCCATTTCAAATAAAATCAGCTCAGGTAATTTTGAAGACATAGTTGCTGCTGCTGGGTAAGAAACAAGCAAAGCTACAAAGATTGCAGACTAGCTTTATCAAGCAGGGAAAGTTGCAATAACATCAAAAATACAATTATAGGCAGGAATTTGGTTTCTTCATGAATGGGTCTTAGATACCACCCTTACTTACATTCACATTTCAGCTTAGACACCCAATTCTAATAAAAAAATTAATAATCATTCTCAATGAATGAGAATGAATCATCAAAAAAAATTGGGCTTTAAGATAGCACAGAGTATGTAATAACATATTCTAGACGTTGAACAGGCCACAAGTAATTTTGGATTGCTAAGCTGACGTACAGCCGCCGTGCAAACAGGTTTTCAAGTGGTGAGCTGGGACAGCGTAGTGGTACAAAGGGCAGCCCTCTTGAACAGCATTTCAGTTTTGATTTGGTTCTCCACCTAGCCGAGGACGCTGGGCAATTAACAAGGCTGACTTGAATTACATCACAGAAACAAAGAGCAAACCACTGAAGTCCATAAAACTGGGCTAATGTGTAGGCAGGGGGTTCACATGTATAAATTAATTCAGCACCCTCCCAACAGCGCTCTTTGTTACAATAAAAATAAAGCATTTTTATTGTGGGTTTTTTCCCTACTACTTTTAGGTTAAAAAGCTGTGCTTTGTTTCTAACAAGATAAAAAATGGCAACTATGATATCCAAATTGGTTTCACTTGGTAATTACCTACCTAAAACTAGTCTATGTTACCCCAAACAGAAAACTGACTGCAATGCTTTCATAGTAGAGAACACTGGAACACTCAAGGGACACAAGTTCCATTAAACACTTGTGAAATGGACACTCTTTGGAACAATACTGGTTCTCTTGCAAAGGTTCTGCAATCTTCTATACCTCTACTAAGAACAATCAGAAGAAAAGCCCTAAGGCTAAAGTTTTTCAGTTGTGCCAAAACGTACCATATGTGCTAAATGCGTGTATAACACAAAGTGTGCACCATTGGAATATTTGTGTGCTTCCTTAAGCACTCACAAAAGTATATACATATCTTTGTATACGCTCACATCTTAACACACAACAACAGATACTCGGGGGGGAGGGCAGGGCAGGGTGACAGGGAGAACCTTTCTGAATCCAGTCACCTTGAACACCTGGGTGCTTCTTGCCCATGGACCATCAGGGAAGTCTGGATTCAAGGCAGACGCTACTCAGAGCGGCCTTCGTGTGGTTGGGAATAATGTAGAAGCAGTTGCCACGTAGGTTCCTTGTATGTCTGACTTAGTCTTGTCCCTTCCTAGGGATCCAGGAGGCACAGACTGTAACAGACAGACAGCAGATTCTAGTTCGGGAAGGCTACAAAAATGGTGGGAACCTTCTGAGGAACACACAGCTGCTGATTCCTAATCCTGGGAACAAAAGCTGAAATAACGTAATTTAGAATCAAAACTATTGTATGCCATGAAGTTAATGGGATTTTGGCCATGAGTCCTGATACTAGTTTTTAAAGTCCAAAGTTGTGCAGGCATTTTATAGGGTTAAAATGAATTTTAGAAGCTATAGTGCTTACGTATCGATCTCGGAAAAGTAGGAGCTTTGGGGTTTTTTTCCCTCCCTAGAAATAGTACCATTAGCAAGAAATTATCGGCTTTCGTACTTTAAACTGTTTCTTCCAATTCATCATTCACATCTATGAATTACTGAAGCTAATCTTGAAGAGTTCTTCTCTCATGTCTGACCGACAATTGTACAGTAGTAATAAAAATACCCACGGTTTTGCAGGAGACAAGCTGTAATTATGCATACAGCTTAAGGAAAGGCAGACTGGTTTCCCAGTCCTCCAATACCACATCTTTTGGTTCAACACTGTATTATTTAAGACTAACAATATCAAAACAATGCAATTTAAAAAATGAAATTGTCAGCTTTATGGAACTGGCTTTTAAAAACAAGCCATCATTCTACCTTACTCGTGAGCTAACTTAGTTCATCCTTACTCCCAGTGGAATGGGCCACACTCTGTGGTACCTGGTACACCAATTCGGCAGTGGCACCCGGCCCCGGCTGCCCCTTCGGTGTATCGTACAGTGCCTGTGCTGATGACGTGCTCTCTGTCCTAGATAAGAGTTTATTGTAAGTTCCAACCAGAGGAGGAGCTTGGTTCCCTGCAGCCTTGAAGGTGGAAATGGAAGGAACGCCAAGAGGTGTGCTGGGATGGCTGGACATGTCCATGATTATTGGAGTTGCATATTCTGGTCCAGTTATAGGCAGTGGTTCAGCATACGCATGGTAAACTTCTTGTACGGGTGAATTGTAAGGGTCCAAATCGGCGTAACTTGCTTCTTTTCCTTCCTCTGGTTTAAAGGTTGATCTCTGATGAAGCGTGCCAACAATTCCCCCCACCAGTGGCTGAGCGTACTCTGTGTTGTGAGCCCCAACAAAACAAAATAAAAAACCTCTTAATGGATGGGTTTTTTTTACAGCAGCATCACATTAAATCCAACCTGTCAACAGTGTAACAGAAATTACTATCTGAGATTGACCCAGTGGTCCCTCTCTGTCCATCAGTGCCAACTGCTTTGGAACAAAAGTCATTTCCACCCAACAGTTAAAGCCATTGGGATAGAGCCACAATGTCCCAATTTCTCAGGTTCGTACGTCTTCCCTTGTGAGCTGCAATTTCCCATGCTGTAAATCTGCCTCAAAACAAAGTTTTTTGAAATGTCTTCCCTGCAAAATTAGAATTAAATGAAATTATCCTGCCTGGCCTTGAATAAAAAGTGGTCCTTGGGACAGAGGGTTTGTCCTCTGAGGGGGGAACCCTGCATGTGGTCAGCTGAGATCTGTTAGTGCAGAGAGAAGCTGAGTCACAAAAGCCGGAGGCGGGAAAGCTGGCTAGCTGGGTAAAAACAGACAAGCAGCCAAAAAGAGAAAAGTCATTCTGCCTGCTGTGAAGCTGCAATTCCTGCACGTCTGCCCATTCCTGCCATCGGTATCGCTATGTAAGCACAGAACCAAGGGCACCATCAGCCATCTTCCTCTAACGACTGGTTCACCAAGGAAGGGGTTAGGGTTATCAGTAACTCCCCCTCTTCTAGATCAGAACACCAATTTAATCCATGCAGTCAGTGCAGGGAACCAAGTACCACATTTCAGATTGGTGTATAAAGATTATTTCCAGTGCATGAAAACATAACCAAAAAAATCCTTCAATCCTTTATGGGGTTGAAGAACAAATACAAGTAAAGAAACTTTCAGTTACTGCATTAACTTGGGAACGTGTCTATCTACAGCACATCAAGTCAATTAACACACACTTTTATGATACTCTAAGACCAGATGGCAACAATATCTTTGATATCAAAGAAATGCTTGTACCAACAGAACTATCCGTTTCTCCTCTGTTCCTCAAACCAAACCGGAAATAATTAAATTTAAGCAAATTCCTGACATTCTTTTTGCATGTCATATATATATATATATACACACACACACACACACTACACGGCCCACAAAAAGAGTAACGTGTACCTGCAGACTCCGTTTGCAGCATTGTTGGGACTTCCCTTGGTCTGAGGTGACTAATTTCACTGTTGCTGTAGCGTACGGGAGTTTCTTCATGTTCTGCTGATTTGGTCGGGAGAAACTGCTTCATTCCTTTCCACCATCCTTCACATGGATTTACAAAAAAACCAAAACAAAACAAAACACAACACCCAAGCCTGCATACACATGTACTGTGTTTCCAGCTGCTAAAATATTTTTACACCACAGCCTATATTTTGTAGTAGCACGTAAACAACTCAGTTGTCAGTACCTGCGTGATCCTAAGGTTACAAGAGACTTTAACATTAACTCTCACCCAATCAACCTGCCTGACTGTTCGCCCAGTTCCCACAGAACTGCTGCAGTCCAACGAGTCTATCCCTGCATGTCCACTAGCCGCAGTGTACTCTTCACATTAATGAACTCACAAAATACAACACAGAAACTACTAAAAAGTGAGCCATGATTCCAATTTGTAATGCAAATATTTACATAAAAGTTTAGACAGTCTCAGTTACAACCTAACAGTACCTTTAACTAATTCACATGGTTTCTGGCTGTTAATGTCATGTTTTTTCTAAGGCAACATTGTTGAAAAAGGTCAGTGAGTATTTGCAAAAACCTGAATAAAGAAGATTCTAACTTGAGTGGAAATAAAAAAAGAGTAACTGTCATCATGAAGAGACAGGGTAGGGCAGGCTGGCTTTGTTAGGTTGCCCCCATCCCTTCCGCCAGCAGCTAGAGCCATTCTGGTTTGCTGTCCATTTCATTCCAGCTGTAAGAGACCACCACTGCAGGCAGAGCCCAAGAAACAGGAGATTCAAATCCACAGAACACTGTTTAACAGAATCTGACGTAGCCTGTGGGACAGACAGAGGTTCCACAGGGAAGTGCAGCAGCATTAGTTCGATACTGCATTTTGCTGAATTTCCTTTTAGAACAGACCTGCATGCTGAACATTTAAATTTAAGCAAACCGGAAAAAAATCTGTCATGTCCATCATCAACATTTAAGTACAGGAGAGTTTGAGTCTAATATTCTAAGACAACACGGCTGTGATCTATCAGAAACGGGTATGTAATAAATAAAAACAGGGCCATTACAAGGTTTCTCGTCTAAAGGATAAGGCATACTTAGACCTGCCCTTGAGCAAACACACAGGTGTGGACATTTCCAGCATGAGGGAGGACAGAGACATGCACAGTCTGAAATACACATCAAACCAAAAATGCCCAGTAAAGGAGTTTATAAAACCGTTCTGTTACCTGCCCGATCCCAGTAAGGTAGATCGTAAGTGCCCTCCGTTTTTTTCTTGCTGCGACAAAAAGAAAAAGGGGGTGTTTCAGCCGGCAGCCTGCTTATCGGAAGATGCGTTAATTAATGCTCAGCAACTACGACCTTGGCTGTAACTGGTCCTCAGCTTTAAAGTACAAGCACCAGTAACCCGGCTTGCCATCACCAGTCTGCTGCTACTGGAGAAACCAGTTTTCAGTAAAAGTACTTCTAACGAAAATAGTTACAAAAAGCTGTTTTCACTGTCCTCGCTATTCGAGTGAACATTTTCTCACAGCGCGTACAATTCTGAACAAAGAATCCTTCCACAAGTGTGGCCCATGTGGTTCCCACAGTGACACATGCAGCATTTCATTCCCACGCATTCATTTAAAGCACTTCCATTAAGCTGTTCATTTACCGGTTTCTCCAATGCCACGCACAAACTAAGATAAGAATCAGAGTAGTGAAGACCATCACCAGCACTGGAACCAGAACTGCTGCCAATGCCACATCTGAAAGCCATTAAATTAAGCGGTGTCAGACAGAAGAGCTTCTCATAAATCAGGTTTTAATTTGAAAATCAAATTGGGTAAAGCACACAGACGTCACGTATAGCCTCTACCGCACCAGGTCCCCCAGCTAAGCCACCCTGCAGGATGCTCCCACAGTGCACAGCTCAGGTGCCAGCTGCCTCCTCTACACGTGGGCACAGCTGGTATTTTTGCAAGGCTCTTCATCCAAATCAACAGGTTTGTTTTCGTAAGTAAGATTTTTCTGTTAGAACAATGTATTTTATTACTGCCAAGGGAAATCAAAAGAGCCCACCAGCATGCAGCCACTGAAGTCTGAACCTCCTTTAAGAAGGAAATACCACAGTACCTTAACAGTTAGTCACCAAAATCAGCCTATGCTGGGCCTGCCTGGGACACAAGACCCTCCTGTCCCCCCACCATCCAAAGGACACTTCGCCAGTGTCTGCAGCTGCAGGGATTCCGCTCCCTTTTCTGACAATTTTCTTTAACAAACAAAATGACAATGCCAAGTGACGTTTTTCAAATTTCATGCCAACAAGACTGCTCCATAAAGGATTAGCTACGTCAAAAGTGGTTTGTCGTAAGGAATTATCAAATTAAGTAACAAAGCAGTTACAGCTGATGAATTCTGAAGGGAAGTCCAAGTTGCAGCGTCTCCGCCTGACAAAATTCGTTCAGTAGGTAAAAGCCGAACTCGGTCTGAACAAGTTTTGAAAGATGGAACTTTACATACATGACTTGGAAGACTGGTTTTGTTTCTGCATGCAGTATGCAACTGTACACTTTTTATCATATGTGTATTTAGTAACTGGTAAAAATTCAAAAGAAAAGATTGGTAATTTGCTATAATATATTAAGTGTTTAGGAAAGTGACATTCAGAAAGCACACTTAATATATGCCAAGGTACTGTAAGGACTTCCCAAACACTTCTATGACCTAACTGTGGATACCTTTGGTTACACTTGGAGTCACTGTGGTGTTTTTTATTTCAGGTGTGAAAGTTGTTTTATCTGTCTGCAACGAAGTCTTCACTGAATGAATGAAATCGTCACTGAAGTCATCATTCTTGTGCTGAGGAGGTGGTGGTGGCACGGTGATTTTAGGAGCACGGCCTTTAGAAGAAAAGAATTCATAATTCCTTTTCAGAAGACAGCTGGAACAGTTTGCTCGAGAGCTTTTTCATGTTATATAATGAGGAAAAAAACACCCCATGAATCAGTAACACGGAAAGCAAGTGACTGGTTTCTTTTGAAACACTTATTTTCGTTTACACTACTAAACTAGGTATTTTCCAGATTAAGTCTAGTAACATTAGAAGAAATTCGGAAGTATCAGTTACAGGAGGATTATGCAGCTAAGAAGTACTTTTTTCTCATTGAAAATATACCCAGCAATGTCACCTTTCCCAAGTTATTTCACTGCTTGTCTTGCAGAGTTGAAAGGTTTCCAGTTGCCTTACCTATGCTAAACTGACATCCTAGCAATTCTACTTTCATTGCAATTTTCTGGTGCCATTTTAAGGGGTTGATCCTAAAAAAACGTGCAATAACAGGTGGAATGAAATTATTGCGAACTTCCTGGTACAATTCAGTGTTCCCTTGAAATATCTAGAAAAGGAAAGAAAAAGAAAAAAAAAAGACAAACGTTATGTTATACAAATGCAACAGCAATTAAGTAACTACAACCGATTTTGCTGGTTTATTTAAGAAAAATAAGCAGCGCAGAATCCTGAAAATTCACCCCAGAACGGTGGTGCTGCCTGCACACCTCCCCTCACTCAGCCCCATTAAATATGTAAATAACTAAAACAACGGTGTGGGTCTGTACGTGCACGCACGCAGCTACGTCCTTCGGAGCGAAGGTACGATGTAACGCTCTGCGGACGCTCCCCGGGCAATGCCTGCCGTTACAGGCATCTCGCGTGTCTATGGCACTGGGTAATTCTAACTCAGACCTTCTTGGTAATTGGCACTTACTCTTCAAATACGTACAGCAAGGAGTTGGGACAACGTGAAAGCAGGAATTAAGCGGTGCCTTCGCACAGCCTCATAGTTTAAGCACAGCCTGTGCTGTGCCCGGGTATGGCACGTACTAGAAAGCATGAAGAGACGCGGTCAAGTACTGCCCTCTGCTGGTTGCTGTCTACAAGGGCGGAGCCACAGGCCCCATGGAAGGACTCGGGTTCAGAACGGGAGAGCTCTCTCTCCAGTCAGTCTCACCCGGAGCCGTGCGGTGCTGGAAGAGAAGGGCGCAGAGTCTGCACAGAGGGTGGGCTAAAGCTGGGCCTTCACTGCTGCGTCTCGCACACAAAGAACTCGTCACGGTTTGACACTACGGGGCGGGTTTGTCTGGTTGAGATTTAAAACCAGTAAGCAGATCGACAGTGCTGTATGCTGCCGTGTACGCGCACTGGCAAACCTACAGCCAACTACAGGTTTTGCACCGAGCTGCTTAAAACACTACAGAAACCAGGCCCGGCGCCCCGGCCCAGCAAGCCGCCCCTTCGTCTCCTTGGGGAGGCCTGGTTTGGTGTCACGTCTTCGGGCAGGAATTGAACTGTCTCCCCGTGTCAGTGCACAGACAGCAGTTGGGCTTTGGCTCTGCACATGCAGCTCTTGGGGTGCGAGGGCAACACGCGTCACCACAGAGGTGACAGTAAAGGAGTAAGATGTTCGTTTTTAAAGCACCGATACAGATATTGACAATTACGTTGGGCATAATGCAGAACAGAATTATGGCACTTGCCTGAAAAATAAACATTATAGCAAATTTTCTGCTCTGTCACACCAGTGGGTAAACAGTAAAGCACCTTGCTGCTGAGGACAAGCATTGTACTGTGTAACAACAGCCGTGTGTCTGCATAAAACGGAGCCGTCAAGAATTCTTAGCACACTTCTGAGCAATGCAGATCCCTGGTCTTTCAACTTTGATACACAAGATAAAGGGGTTTGTATTGCACTCCTGTGTTTAAGTTTCTGTAACAAAATGACTAGAATATCCCTACAGGCTTGAAAGAAACCAATTATTCCAGGAAACTATCCTTTTAAAAGCCCCCCAAAAAACCCAAACCACCCCAGGGACCTTTAAGGGACTGACTCACGCCTGGGCTCCCTGACATACATAACGGGTCTCCACCCTCAAAAGACCACAAGTCCCATTCCTATTACTTATGCATGAGAATTCTGGTGGTCCTTACACGGGCATCGTCTTCATGTTTGAGAGCACCGACTGATCAAATGGACACTTACGCCAATTTGGTTAGGCACAGAAAAATAAATCACTTGGTAATTTAAATGCAGCACTTCATGTTTCAGTGCCTTGGTTTTTTCTCCAGCTTAAATTAGTAACCAGCATTTTCTTTTTTACCTATCCAAGTCACTGCTAACCCACTCACGACACTAAAAATCTAGGTAGGCAAACACAAGGCATCTATCTCCCTCAAAAGTTACAGTCTCCTCTCCTCCCCAGCTTAGTGCAGTGCAGATTTACAAGCACTTGGCTCTCACTGGTATCTGTCCTGCTCTGGATTGAAGCTTCTTGTTCTTAAATATGCTTACTAGCAATGAATGGAGACAGATTAACTGTGGGGGCAAGACTATGGTGTTATTTTGGAAATAATAACACAAAGCAGCCACAGTTTGTGTGCCCAGGCAGTCACGCTCTAAGACCGTGTTTCAATTTACAGCCACTTTTCTCCTAAACTAAGCCTTTTTTGTTTTTTTTAACTGACAGGCTTGTAGCTACAGATCTCACCAGAATTATTTGTTTTGATAAAGATGCAAATGAGAAGCAAAATACAGCGGTGACTCTCTGAGGGGATGCGCCCAGCCCAAACTGCCGTACTGCACCCTTGTTTGCGCTGTGCCATGCCGGTGCCCGCTAAAAGAAGGTGCAAACTGCACGTGGCTACCCCAGCACTGAAGGCAGAAGTTGCACATGAGGAAAATAGACGCCCAACACTGAAAGTTAGTCTCCCTTCAGGTTTCTGAGGCTGAGCGTGTAACAGCAAAGGCAACAAGAATCATTAACGTTGACGATTATCTTCAAGAAAGATTAACAGTAAAGCAGTCCTTTACTCCAGGCTTTTATTACTCAAGCTTTTGATGTCAAGGGTTATGATCGTAACTTAACTTTACCTGCAGGTCAGTATTTTTTTGCACAAAAAATTTGGTTCTGAGCTCAATACAGTGCAAGTTTTTTTTAAATGAGAAATCACTTTCATATTCTATTTATTATCAAACTCTCTCCGTTTGCCTCTGTGCTGTCAAAACTTTTCCAACACTGCAAATTTGTCATTTTCCCCCCTATTCAAGCATTTTACTCCTTTTTTCATTTGTAAAATTTTTAAGAAAAGCTTTTCTTGAGTACTGTCAGATGTCTAGAAGCTGTTTGCAAACGGAACTACGGGAAAGCCTTGGAAAAGCTTCCAGTCTCGTGAAAAACGTTAGGAATTCCAAACATCTTTCAAACAAATGGGAAATAGCACCTCCTGGTTGGCCTGGTGTGCCATTACGTAAGGCTCAAAGGCAGAAGCCTGCACACACATGCACCCAAAAGCAAAGCTGTATCAGTGGGATGATGTCAGACAGAGGAAAAATCTGCTGTTTCGAAGCCTAAGAGATCACCTGTGCGGAACCCTTTTTTCTGTCATTTACCTACAGCTGACACTTCCTGGATATGTACGGTTTTTCCGCATCGTACCCAATGAGACAGAGTGGAAATAAATAAATAAATAAATAAATCCATTACCTGTAATTTGTTTCATTTCATGAACTTGCAAGAAAAACAATACACTCAAATTAAAAGGCAACAGCTGCAAAGGTTTTCTAAGAAAATAACCGAACTAAATCTGAAGCCTAAATCTAGGTGGCTCGCTAGCTGAGATTTTATTTTACGGCCAGAAGAGGGCACTCAAAAACTAGCAAAAGATGCTGGATTTTTTTTTTTTCTTGAATACTTCATACTAACAGTCTGTTAGTTCACGTGTAGGTTCAAGGGGATGGACCAGCCCCGACAGTAAAGTCTCCTCCTTTCAGGAAAGTTTCCTACTGTGATTATGTTCAGTGTTCAAAAACGTCTTAATTTACAAACAGGATACTTGAACCTTTCACTTCACCGGCAGGATGCTACATCCTACCTTGAAACATTCCTAACCCACAGTAAACTTGAGAAAACCAAGTACAGCTGAAGAGTTACCATTCTTAAGACCTGTTTCTAAAAAGTTACTAGGTTACTACCTGCTATTACATGTAGGTAATACCACAGGCCTATGGAAATAAGGTAAATTACATCCAAGAATTTTAAGAAAAAGAAGGAAATTCTAGTTCCAGACAGGTTACCCTTCAAGAATCCTCTCATTTGTTTAAGAAAATCCATTCTGAACCACTTGGAAAACCATGTAGGACATTAATCTTCCCATTTTTACTATCTATTAAATAATGCAAAGCTGTAATGACAGGGAAAACAAGACTAACTTGCTGCTAACACTAGGTAATTTTTCTGTGCGGCAAAGCATTTGTGATCGGAACATACCAGTTCAGTTTTTAAGAAAACTCCTCTCTGCAAGGGCTGCTCTATTATCCAAGAAACTTACCAGCATTTTGCCAAAAAGTAAGATGGACAGAAACATTATAAAAGATGGAAAATTATACAACTCTAACATTTATTCTGTAACCATAAGAGGATAAGAAAGTAAACCTTAATTTTGAAAGAAATCTGATTATTCTTAAAGGGACGCAGTACCAGACAGCCGACCACTGGCAACAGAAGTTTCTTGTACAGAACACTCCTACCCCCAAATGGTAATAAAAATCATCTCTGAATTTCAGAACTGTTCGAATCCTTACGTATTTGCATATTTTCTTCTGGACAGATGCTGTTTTGATTCAAAATTACACTGAAAAGGAAAGTTCTTTAATGCTTCCTCACCGTACCAAAATTAGTTGTATTTACAATTGTGAAATCTCCGCAGAACACACTAGAAAACATGTGGTATTTTTACCTTATCTTTGTCCATGCCAGGTTCTCTGTATACTGTCCATTTCTGTGCATCATCACTGTATAAAATTCTGTAGGCTGAGACGTAATAGTAGTACTCTGCTAAGGTTGATCCAGTAGTTATAATACCTGCGAAAATGAAAGTGCCCAGTTAGACAAAAAACAGGTACCAGTTTGTAAAAATCAACAGATCAGCTTTTGAATCCAGAGTTACGCAGCTGGAATCTCTGCTGGTCCAGTTACATTTCAAAAAGTTTACCCAAGGTGCTGGTCTGAAACTTCTACAGTGACCGAAATGTCATGCTCATTTGACTTACATCTGTATTTTAATTCTCATGATATATAACCTCGCTCAGCTCTTTTCCCCTATTTCTTGGTGGAAGCGGTCTGTTCATTTGACCAGGGCCCACTCCTGTCTCCA